GTTAGGGTAGGTAAGAATGGAGAAACCAGCTTGAGTGCGCTAGAATTTGAAATTACACAACCTGAGAAGATCTGCCTTTTCCTTCAGACTTCCTTACAGAGCCCCTCCTCCAACACACACAAACGTGCACATGACCAATGAGGGCACGAGATAAGTTTGTGCTCAGATGGAAGGCTGACAGGCAGGTAGGCCATCCAGTTATTTTAGCCGGGCCGGCTCAGATGATTGGTCGTGCTTTTTACAGCGCTACAGTTTCCACAGATTAATTTGTTTATGTATTTTTTGTCAAAGCATTTAATATATTCATTGCTATCGGGACGTTAAGAGCATTCCATGGAATATAACAAAAAGTGTTTTCTGAAATAAATTACATACCCCATTGAATTATGACTGAAGATCATCAGCTGTCTTCCTCTTCCATTTTTCTCCTCAATTTGTAAAGGCTGCAGCACCTTTGACAACTTCTCTCTACATATATCAATCATATCGTTTGCTGTGAAAACATATAACTCTGTCCACGCAGAATTAAACCCTCTGTGTTCCTCCGGTACTTTTATTTTCTTTGATTTATCCATAGTTCTCTCATGGAGCCGGTGTGAGTACCATAATATGTGTTCGGGGTACCATATGTGTTCGGGGGCCTTCTCTTACCAATGACGTCACGCATTGTACTCATTGTGATTGGCTGTACGGTAATTTACCCAGGGGTGCTCGGGGGCAAATCACATCTACAGATCATGACGAACCGAATTGAAGTATTCCTATACTTAGCGTGTGGAAATGTTTGTGAAAAACATGTAAAAAAAAACATGAAAACGGAGCAATGGCTGTACGCCATTGGCTTTACGGCAACTCAAGAGGACCATCATACACGGTCAAATTCCAAATATTTAAACATAGCCTACACTTCATTCTTTACTTTGTCCGTTATTATATGTAGAAGATATTACTTTTTTCTCCGTCATGTTGTTTCCATAGCAACAACTTCAAACAGGAAGTTAACCTAAATTACATTTAAGACACTGCAANACCGAATTGAATTATTCCTATCATACACGGTCAAATTCCGAACATTTAAACATAGCCTGCACTTCATTCTTTACTTTGTCCGTTATTATATGTAGAAGATATTACTTTTTTCTCCGTCATGTTGTTTCCATAGCAACAACTTCAAACAGGAAGTTAACCTAAATTACATTTAAGACACTGCAAAGACAGTAACAAAAACAATGTAAAATGTTTGTGAAAAACGTGTGCAAAGTCTCTGAAAACGGAGCAGTGGCTGCGACACCGGGGGGTCAGGTTATTCGCCTGCAACAAAAGGCGCTAGCGCGGGACCGTAGCAGGATGTGACGCATATTTTAGTTGACCTAATTAAAACCGTTTTGTTTTTATTTATGTGTCACAGTATCACCTCAAAATACAAGATACGAAACATCTTCAACCATGCAAGAAAATATAGATAGTCCTACAAATACTTTTATTTTATTTCCTTCTTATTTTTGTCTAAGCTCAAGGGAGCCAGAGCAGAGGGCTTAAAGGGCCGCATGCGGTTCTTGGGCCGCGGGTTGCCGACCCCTGCTTTAACCTCAACACTTACTTCCATGTAACTCTCAACTGATATCCTGAATTAAACTTTGTCTCCCTGAGATAGAGATCATGTGGTTTGAAGGTGAGGTCTGGCCTTTCCGGCACTTCGGTCATATGACAGTTCAGCCCTCCTCTTTCTGTCCTTTTTGACCTGATAATCTTCCTCTCTGTCTAAGCGATTTCCCTGATCTGCAGATCTTAATGTCCCCCTTCGCTCTACATCCCCCTCTCGATCTCTGAATCTGTGACCTCCTGAGACCTTCCTGGTCCTGAGACAGCTGATGAATGATAGGGCCGACAGTGAATTCCCGTATAAGACATTCATTTACTCATATGCCTCTAGATGTACTACTATACCTAGTGATTGATTTATGTTTGTATGTTGGTGTGGATCTTTTATACCAACGTCGTCTCATACCTACATCTTATCTCGATTGTGTCTAGCTCTGATCTTATATTTAAACAGAGAGTTCACTAGTTAAGAGACAATGCCTTACTTAAATTTAAATCAAACTGACAGAATAGCTTCATTTCTGTTCTATGATAAGTTAACAAAAAGAAAGAGCTGTCAATCAAATCGACTGCTTCCTGTTTGATTTGCATGTATGTTTCCTGGATGGCTCTTCTCAAATGTTTGTTTTTGTTTATGCAGATCCTATTATAGAACTTGAGACTCAGTTCAATGTTGAAGTTATAATAGTAGTTCGGGTGGTTTGTATCTTTAGCATTGTGTGTTTTATTTGCATGTATTTACTTTGTTTTTGATCTTTTATGGATCAGATTCAAATCCAGTTGCCAGTAAAATATATTATTAGAAGCTGAAACCTTTTTTGCCGAAGCGGGACAGAAATACGTATACTAAGTTCTTTAACATTGTACTCAAACACAGTAGTTATGCCTTTTCAACGCTATTCAATCCCTACAGTACTGAACTGCTCCATCTACAGAAAGATTTGGCAGATGTGTCGTAGAAGGTTATCCATATATTTCCATTACTTTAAAATGAGTCTGCCTTACAAAATGTGCTGTTGTTCAGGGCCGCCTTAATGCACGGGCTGACCTGGGCTGAAGCCCAGGGGCCTACGGAGATCGGGGGCCTATCATGAGCCCAAAAATTCAAAAAAGATTTTTTATTTTGGATGTTTTTAAACATTTTTTAAATAAACAAAGTCTTGGCTTTAAGAATATGTAACTTTTATTGACAAAATCACACGATAAATAAATGTTTGAAGCTTGTAAAGGGAAGAAGACAGCTCTCCCTCGCCACTCTGCTGTTCTGCTGTTCCCCTCCCTCCGCTGAAATTATGAATACAAAGGCGTATAGTAATCATCAGTGTTGGGCAAGTTACTTTTAAAAAGTAACTAGTAATAGTTATAGTTACTGCCCTCAAAAAAGTTACTAGTTACTTTATTAGTTACTAAATTATAAAAGTAACTAGTAACAAGTTACTTTACTTTAAAAATAATAACAATACAAATACAAGTTTTTGTGTTGTTTTTTGATGACTAGTTCTCTGAAGGCAACAGACTCGACCGTTGCGATGGGCAGCATGTCCTCAACAACATATCTGGCAATCAATCTGTTTAGTTGACTCTGGGTGACATGAGGCGATTTTAAAAAAATCGTTTTTTGGCTGTTTAGATGGTGTTGCTCCATGTGGGTCACTGCCGGTGGTTGAGACGGTGGGGTCTTTGGCGACTAGTTTTATAGCCCCATTTACATTACTTAGGTGCTTCAGGAGATTGACATTGCTGTTTTTCGATGTGGACAATGCTTTCTGTCCTGCACACAGTTTACATTTTACCGTAAGATTTTTTGTGTCCTTTATCCCCACAAATTGAAAATGGTGGTTATATTTCCAAGTTGCAAATGCGCTGTAATCACTCATCACCAGATGAGTGATTACAGCGCCCGGTATCATTTTACACACATTTGTATCATACAGATGCAGGACTTACACACGCCTGTTATCTGACCGACAGGTCCGCACTCTAATAAGCATTCATTCACAAATCAGGAGACCTTTAACGTTTTACGTCCGGTTCGCTCTTTTGTTCCTCGCTGTACAAAGCTCCAGTTTGGGCATTGGCCTGTCATCAGATTTGATTTGTTGTTG